TTTGTTCCTAAAATTCATTCTTCGGTTTTAGAGAACACGAACTCGTGCAGGTCAGGTCCAGAGATCTTTTTTCTCTATGTCATTTGGAGGTTCCCTATATGGTTTGGAGGTCACCCACCTGAGACCAGTTTTTCTCCCTGTATCACTGGGACCCTGGAATTCTCTGCCTAGCTTGCTTCTGAGACCACAACAGCTTCTGCTTGAATTGCTTCTCCCCAGGGAGACCTTGCTGATGTTGTGGGCATCTCTTAGCTTTAGGAATAGCTGCAGGGCAACTGTTTACCGAGAGAGGCTCCAGCATAACTGGGTGTTCACGGCCCCCAGTATGAAGCTTTCTCACTACAGAATAAAGCCAAGAGCAAAAGACAGAAGCTGCTGTTTTTCTAACACAGAATTCTAGAGTTCAAGAGGTCTAATTTAGAACCTAACCTTCCAAGTCCATCTGTAAGTAGATTTTTGTAAACTTAGGAGTTTAGAAAATATTTTATTTAATAATTTGTTAGTTTAATTCAAAACTTTGAACTATTTATTATGTTGAGATGGATTTTTTTTTTCTTTTTTTTTGAGGGGGAAGCTGGCTCAGGATGCCTTCAGGGCAGGTCTGGTAAGGCATGAGGATCTGGGGATTGAACCACAACATTCTGAGCCTAACTTCTTTGTTTAAATAGACACTTAAGCAACTGAGCTAATGGACAGGCCCCCTGAACTATTTATTATGGTTTTTTTTTTTTTTTTTTTTTGAGACTTGCCTCAGCCCCCACAAATATAATAGCGATAGATTTGAGGATTTAATTTTTTTCTCCTTTCTCCCTTCCTACCACTTCTACATAGTTTCTAACTCCCATCTGCCATATAAAATTCTGTAATAGCCCGTGTGTGTGTGTGTGTGTGTGTGTGTGTGTGTGTGTGTTTTGCTAGGATTAAACTCAGGTAGAGGGCCAGGGAGATAGCTCAGTAGAATAAGTGCCTCTCTGGCAAGCGTGAGGTCCTGAATTCAACCCCTGGCACCAGAAAACAAAAACAAAACAGGTAGACAAGCAGTCTAGTCTATAGCCATACCACCCTGAACGTGCCCGATCTTGGAAGCTAAGCAGGGTTGGGCCTGGTTAGTACTTGGATGGGAGACAAGCAGTCTACCACTGACTTAAACCCTCTGCTAGGAAATAATCTTGGATTATCCCACTGATGGTCTCCTTTCTCCCATTTTCTCT